CAACTATTTTTCTTTTTAGATTTTAAAAGTAATAGGGAAGACTTTACTTCTTGCTGTTTTTAAAACCAAGATTTTTCTTCATATTCTGATATAAAATAGTGTAAGAACCTTACATGTAAAACATTACATGTTTTTCTTATGTAATGTATAAGTTATCTTCAGAAAATATAACAACAGAAAGACAAGATTTTTTACCTGGTGGTAATAAAGAAAAATATTTCCAGCAGAATTTATTACTTTTAATGTTAAAAAAAATCCCCAGGAATTAGGAATTCTGGATTAAATAATTTAATAATATAACCTCTGGTGTCAGATTCATTGCCAGTGTTATTCCACCAATTAATTTATCGATCTCTACAAAACAACTATAACTGAAACTATTTTCTAGGTTAAAGAAACAGTTTGAGGGATTTTGCATCTGTTTTTGTTATTTTGGGAAGAGACCTTTAAAATCTCCAAATCTGTTTACGTAATTTCTCCTCAATCCAGTATTTTGTCAATGTCTTCCTTTATAAATAGTCAACCCACTGATTTTTATTAGTATCCTTTTTTGCTTTTGCATGCACTGCTTTATATTCCATGTTGTCTTTTGTATACCAGTACTATCAATGCTCTTCGACATTTTCTTCATGTTTTAGACATGGGTGTGCTGTACAAATCTCTCACTGTGTTTGCTTGCTTCTTCAAGAACTGTTATTGTGAAGTTAGTGAAAAAGGTCAGGGTGATTATTTAGTGGGAAAAATCGAATCTGCTGGAACTTTATTGCTTTCCTCTAAGAAATCTGACTTATTTATGACATAAGGTATTTTAAGGCACCTGATAGGACTTACTTCTTTTTTTATGATACTCCTGCCTTTGTGTAAAATTGTGCTATAAATGATATTGACAGTGTCATACAGTACTACTGTATTGTTTTTAAGTTGCATTGTTTCAGCAATTTATAGTCAAACAAACCAAAGTCATGACTGTCTGCCCTACTTACAAAATTGTAGAGACTTGTCTTAAATTTTTCAATATATGTTAGGGAAACTTCTAGCAGAGGAAAGTTTAGCATAGCTCAAGGAAAGATGTACTATTTCTTTTGGCTTGAATCCATAGCTCTTAAAATAGATGTAATATAGACAGGTGTGCAACTATGTAGGGATAATCCTATGATTGGGATACTTTTCTTAATGGATTTAGTAGACAAGTCCATTGGAAACACTATACCAAAGAGTTGCCTGACAAGTGCATTAAACTAGATACGCTTCTCAAAATAGGAGATGAGATCATCCCAATTGTCCATACAGTAAGACATATTAAATACAAAGTTGAGGCTGGTTCTCTGACCCCAAAAGAAATAATCAAGTCGCAGCTACTTGTAGGTTACTGGAAAGGCTAATTGGAGGCAGTAATGAGATGAAAGAGTCCTTTAAGACTCTGTTGGTCAGAATTATCTTCAGATTCTCTTCTCAAACTGGATTCTTTTTTAACCTGTAATACCAAAATTGATGAAGAACTTCTGTGTATCCCTCTAAGGTAGACAAGTCAGCTTTCTCCCTTGTGTTTGCACCTGTCTCAAAAGCCTTTCATATTACAACCCCAGGTTTTTAACCCCCATAACAGATCCTTAAGCAAACTGTCCAGAGATTTGATAAATTTGCTTTTGCTTTCGCTTTCGATGATTATTGATATTCAATAGTACCCAGTTTGAGAACTTCCTTAGCTTACAGTCCATCATACTCTTGAATGCCCTGTATCTCTTAATCTGGAAAAAAAATCTCCACCAAGTTTTACAAAACCATGGAAAGATTTCATGCTCAAAAAGGACCATGCAGGCTACTCTCCTTATGACTGAGTGATCTCTTTTAAGCATTCTTCAAAGTTGATTGCTTAGAGAATTATTTTTTCATATGTTGGTCTTCTGGTTAATTCCACCACCATTGTTTAAATCAAGATAAATACACTTTCAAAGGCAATGTATTTTTGCATAAGTGAAAATAAGACTTCTAAATGGTTTTTGTTTGTGGGGGTTTTTTTTGTTTTTTTAGAAGTGGATAGGTTTCTTTTAACTTTTTTAAGTGATTGAAAATACATGAAGCATTCCATGTTTACTACTATTCAATATCTTCAAGACAAAATTTGTTATGTTTTCCTTATAAACAACCGGGAACTTTTCAACCACCAAGCCTACAGGAAGAGCTTGTGATCCAAACATTTAGCTGGTTTTACATATAATGACTGATACTCGCTTTTTTGCAAATCAGACACTCTGCCTATGCAAAGGTGTGGGCTCACTGGGACAATTATAGCCTTTAGAGCAGCCTTGGGTGCATGCTGAGTATGGTGTGATGAGGAAGACACCACACTATTTAACAATTTGTTCATTTTTATATCACTACTGCCACTATATCCAATCCCATATCCTTCTGTTTTTAGTGATACTGCATTGGATTATATAGACTTATTTGTCTAAAAATTTCCTTCTGCCTAATGTTATTATAAGTGGAATCCAAAAATAAACAGGCCTAATCACTATTCTTTTACCACTGCACTTTTAGGTTTGTTCTAACCAGTGCTAGAGAGAGCTGAGACTTCAGGAATAATTGAGAAAAATGTGCAAGATACTTCTGCAAGATACAAAACCTATTTTGAAGAGGTTTTAAAGAAGACAACAAAAATTGGCCAGGTAAGTGTTAAGTAGCTATCAGTTGTGTGCAGAAAACAGTGTGTTGAGCTCTGTTTCCTATGGTCATTTGCAAGATAGTACAGACAGATTTTGGATTCTGAAAACTACCACTATACTGTAGAGCTGTGAGAGAATGGGGATTCACAGCATCTCAAAGGAGAACCTCCGAGCCTGATGGAATTACACCCTACAAGTTAGTTATGCTATGCTGGATATGGCTTTTTATATAGGCATCTAACCTGAACATTATGGCTTTTCTATAAAATTGCCGGTTTCATAATTCCACTTTTATTTTTCTAAGGATGGAAGAGAATGAGTTATTTAATATTAAAATGTAGCTTCTCTGCATGCTAAGCTTAATTGACTCAGCACTAATTATTATAACTGGATTATTGGCTCAATAATAATTTTTGAAGGGGTAGCTGCATAAATGCTTGATCATCTTTTCAAGCCATTAAACACTCTGGGCATCAGCCTCTTAACAGTAATTCTGACATGTTTATCTCAGCTGGGTTTGTAATTCTTCTTTGTTCAGGGTTTGTGATCTGTATATACAGTAGATTTGGAAAAAAAAACCCACACAACAAAACCCCAACAAAATGATATCACCTTCTAATTGAATAAATAAATAAATAAATAAAACCAGACTATTCCAGCACAAGATAAACCTCAGTGACTAACAAATAAAATTTTCTCCTTAAAAAGCAATTATGCTTTTGTCCATTAAGTCTGGACACCTGGAGTAAATATTTGTTCCAGATTTGCAGGTACCTTATTACATTTATATTTAAAGGTTAGATACAACAGTTCCTCTTGGTTACCCTTCATATAATTAACCTAAGTACTTCCAAACTTGATTTATAAAGAAAGTATCTCATGCAGCCCACACCCTGAAACCTGCTAATTCTGTGAATAAGTCAATTCTGTGAATAAGTCTTAAAATTCCAGATGACAGTTACCTATGAATGCTTCCTGGCTGCAGAAACCTATTGAATTATCCTCGACTCCTTTATTATTATTATTTAAGATTACACACACTTGGTCCCTCCACAAGCAGTTAAACAATAGTTAGAGTCTGATCATTTACGCCTAAACCCATTAGGACAAATTCGTGCTGTACTTTTTCTATACACACACTGCGCCCTTCCTTAAGGCATGGGATGGAGGGATCAGACCTCCTGTCTCCGCCACCGGAACGAAGCAATAATTCCGGACCCAGCAAGAGTGGAGCCAGTCTCCCTCCCCGGCCCCTCCGACCCGAGGAAAAAGTTCAGCTGTTCTTCTCGGCGGTGCTGTCTGGCCCGGGGCAGGGGGCAGCCAAGCCCGGCCCGGCCGGGGTTGCCCATCCCGCCGCCAAGGAATGCCATCCCGTAGCTCCAGCGCTGCGCCGAGCCGAGCAGCGCCGAGCCTAGCCAGCAGTGGCATAATCTACTAATGGCTTCTTTTCATTTCAGCCCTCCCTGAGAGACTCAGTGGCAGATTGTAGACTCAATTACTCTCATGTCAGGTGATTATCCTAGGTCTTAATGTAATCTTCCATTCACACATACCATATTTCAATTACGGCAGCTATGAAACAAGCTGTGTATTCAAATCACCAATCACCTTATCACTGCTGAACAATGTCAACTGTAAAAAACGCCAGCTGAAGGCAATTACACATGTGTTGAGAACCGATTATGATTACTCTCTGTGGTATTTGTGATGAGCTGGGGAATGTTCTGAAAATTTAATTTAATGACAATATGCTTGCTGTACAATCCATAATACCTCCTGAATCCAGCATGGGGCTATTAAAACTGATAGGAGCATATTATCACCGAACTGAAAAGCTGGGTTGGGATGGTTGCTGGATGTCTCTTCAGGGAATGATAGGTAATTTCTCCACATATTTCTAACGGCTAAGGCAGACAGCTTCCAGTTCCAGCTGCACTCTGAAGGTGGTCCCTTCCCCTCCCTCCTCTCTCTCGGAGCTGAGTTAAGGAGTTTTACTGTAGCCGCTGCAGAGGGACGGGGAGGCGAGTGGAAGAGGGGTGTGAGGGACATTGCCTCAGGGACCCCGGGGCACAGCGCCGTTTCCCCTTGGGCATTTTCTTGACCTCGTTAAACCTTTTCTCGGATTTTTTTTTTTTTTTAAACTTTCCTCTCGTTTTGACACCCTCTCTGCACAGCCATGCAGATTTAACAACAGGAGGAGGAGATACAAGTGCCCCTCACAAAATGAATCCCTCCAGGCTCCCGGAAGGGAGCAGCAACACCCCCCGCGCCGTCCTGCGGGGTCGCCCGTTGCTAGGCAACAACCCCGGCCAGAGGAGCGCTTGGCCCCAAATACCCCAAACGTGTGTATGCACATAAGGAAGGTGCAGTTGTAATTGTGCGGCTCTCCGGCCTGTCTGGCACGGCCCTTGCTTCCAACAGGTAGCCAGGCTGGAGGGCACACCAGGCAGGAATCCCGCCGCCTCCTCTGGGCACCGCCAGTGCAGCGCTGCTCGCAGGGATGAGGAGGAAATCCAGGGCCCTGGGTGTCCGGGGTGGGCGCTGGTGTACAACGCTATTGCTATTTATTGATCTGAATTGGTGCGATTCTAGATTAGCCTTGCAATTCATTTCAGAAAGCTGACAATCTCCGCTGCCTGGGCGAAACACAAAGGTCTCCCGTTCTTCCAAGGCTCCGGCCGATAACGCTGCGCTGGGGAATTGTGCGAACTCTGTGGCTCCGGTGTATTGTCTCGCTCTTCTTTCAAGGGCTGCGTTATGAACTCAGGACCCTTCAAACAAAACACGTCATCTCCAATGCTGAATCGAAAATCCCGTTTAACTTGAAACACGCAATGCCATTCACCTACATAAAAAAACCCCCCAGTTTTCAATGAATATATGCTACAGAGATTTATTTATCTGCACTAATATTTCATATACAGTGCATTAATTTTTGTAAACAGGTTGATTTTATTCAGCAGATAAACCTATTGTGGTAATTTTTCCTTCATTGTATACAGGAATTTTATCGTGGATTTATTACTCTGAAAGCATTTATTTAAGTGGAATTCTGCAGCACACATGCTTTTTAAGCCTGGAAAACATATAGTTATCACATTGTCCCAGACCTAGACGTTTATAAGAATGAGGCTTACCTGATTTTTTTTTTTATTATTATTTTATTTTTTTTAGGTTACTCTTTCACACAGTGACAAGTATCCTGTCTCAATTGTCTTTTGCTTATGTCTGCTGTACAGGCACTAGGACAAGAATATCTGACCAGATCCATAAGGGAGAAGATGCTGTAGTATCTTTTTTCTTTTGGATACTTACCTATGTGTTTGAATAGAACAGGAATGTCAAACATAAGGCCAGAAAGGAAATAAATAAGGTTGATAAAAATGACATAAATCAGAAAAGTCAGAGCAAGCAACTAGTAACATTTAAACAGTATACTTAAATTATTTGAGTCTATTTGGAAAAACAGTTTCTGTTGTTAAAGAGATTTTAATAGTAAAACTTAGATTTTAAAAAGCCAGTTCTGAAAAAGAAAAAAGGTATAAATAAAGGTGATGAAGAAAAGACCAAATCACAGGCAAAAAATATGCTAGCAAAACAAGCAAGGGCTTAGGAAACTTATGCTTTTGGGTACATGCCAGCTTTTGGGTACACGAAAGTAAACTATCTACTAGACACTACAGGATTTTTTTACAGTATGTACATGATGATCATGTAACACAATCTGGTGAATAATGTTATTATAGTAACAGTAGTAGTAACAATGTCAATATTAACAGCAGTGATAGCAATAACAAAAAAAAATGGTGAAACCAAAACAGAACCCAATGGGGTAAATTAATAAGGAGCCTAAGATTCAAACCAGCTGTTTCTCCAAAGGACAGAAGTGGTGCATCTTCATTCTGGGTTAGTCTACAGCTAAGGAATCACTGATCTGTGAGCAGTCGGAATCTGAATTCCAGTTGGAAGCAGACACTTCAGGGCATCTCTGCTTTTTGCTCCAGGAATACAGAATTCACATCACATGTGTCTGGCGCTGACAAGGAAAGCTTTCCTTTTACATGTAGTAGAAAGGCAGCATGCAAGCTGATTTGTGACATTCCTCTTCGTATCTCATTGTGAAGAGAAAGCCAAGAAATAAAGAAAAAACCCTTGTTTCCTATTAATTATGTTATTAATTGAATTTATATTGTTACTGGCATGTTTCTTGCATGAAGGGAACAATATTCTATCAATAAGGGAGATACAGCACAATGGCATAGCTCCAAACTTTTTTCCAGTTACCAGATCACTGTCTGATTTACATTACATATAAAGAACTGCATCCCAGCATCATCTAGATTCCTTCTTAATCAGAGTGCCGGTTTTTTGTGTGGTTGTGGTTTGGGTTTTTCCCTTCCTAATTTTTTTCCACTTTTTCATTTTTTTTTTTTCCTAGGAAAGCTGTTGAAAGTCCATGAGGAAATACCTCCATCCACCTTACACATACTGTGTATACATACATTTACTATAAACACAAATGGGCACATAAAAACTATAAAATCACGCTAAAAAAGAACTAAAAAATTGCTCTTTGCCCCCAAATCTGTAATTCAGGACAACTGAAATTTCTCCTTAAGTTGAAGACAGCATCAGCTGAGCAAAGTTGCCATGACAGAGATCAAGCAAAATGTTATTAGGTAAATACCCAACACAGTGAAGGGCTTTATTGATTTTTCAGCAAAATGAAGTTACTGTACTTATTTTAAAGATCAATTTTATCACCTGAGCTTAGGTATGTTGGACTTCAAACAAAGAAAGAAAGAGGGCAATCCTTTATAACCTCCTCTGTGACCCTAAACAGCCAGAAAACCAAAAGGCAAGCTTATTTTGTTAGCTGAATTACATTTCTTTTTTCTTTCTTTGATTGTTCTTAAATATAATTATCTGCCAAAAAAAATAAGCTATCTGATTACAAATTGTGCTATTTTTACTGCCCAAGGCAGTTGTTAATTTTTGCCATAGGTCAGACAGGATAATGCCCTAAAGAACTAAGACCTTCTTAATTGCATAGTGTACCACTAGCTGTTGCCACATCTCAGTAGAGTTATTGCACCTTGTAGATAATGCCCTTTTCCCCTGCAAGCCATGAAATAGGTTCTCCCTACATCGATGTATTAATTAGATTTCAAGAGTGTTTCAAAAATTATAGCTGAAGCTGCAGTTCAAATATTTCAGAAGTTATTATAAAGATTTCCTGTTATGGGTTTTTTGCTTGTTTGTTTGTTTGGTTTGGGTTTTTTTTCTCTAATTGAAAAAGGGGAGGAAATGATCTTGAACACCCTTTTTTTTTTTTTTTTTAAGGATAAGGAAGAAGCCCAACCTGTAAACTTTGTCACATTTAAAGAATATACAAGTTTATAAGTTTTGATAGAATTCCAGGTTAACTTTGTCAATTCTGATGCTGTAAAAAGTGAATGAATTGAGACGACTTGTAGAAATCTCAGGAAACATTTGAAATTTCTTTGACTGGCTGTATATCAAATATACAGTGAAAAAAGGAAATAGAAGGAAAGTAGAAAAGAAGGGCAAGAGGCGAAATGGTTTGTGTCCATTTAAGAAAAAATCAATAATAGCATAAAATTGATTTAGTGCTTGTCATAAAACATAAGTAAGTGCTGGAAAATAGAGAAAATTGAGTCTCAATTTAATCTGCACAAAAGCTACACTGTACTGATGAAGTGATCTGAGGAGAGAGCTACATAAAACCTAAAGACAGATACTTAATTGTCATATTAAAGACTCTCTTTTCTGCCTGCTGGAGTCAAGGGGTAGGACCCATTAATCATGTGGATAAGGGGCATTGAAATCAAATCTCAATTAAAATCTGTTCAATAATGTCTCTAATATGTTTTTCAAGCATTAATTTTTTCCCATCGATTCTACACCCCATAAATCAGATATGTTGCAGTGCATGTAATAGTTTATGGAGGAGAGGATTATGGTTTTATGAAGTTAATGCAGCAGAACCATTTAATTTACTCAGGCTAAAGTTTTATGTCTGTTGATAATTTCTATTGTTTTCTGTGGGTTAAAATTCTTTGGAATATAAACCTAAAACAATTTTTTTCTATTTTGTGTATGTTTGTGTGTGCACAAACATACACAAAGTATCTGTGTAGACTTATGACCTGACTTATATGGACCCGCTGGCAAAGATTATTATTGAAGAATATATATTCTTTTTATTTAAGACTGTGGTTTTGAAGAGTAAAGGTAAAAATCTCTCAGCAAAAAAAGACAACCATTTTTTGTACTGTTACACTATGCAGTGTCTGGTGAAACACAAGCAATAGCAGGGATACTGGCAACTTAGCTTCTGACTTTTATGTGAATCTAAGAGAATATGATCATGAGAAGTTTTGTATGAGATGTAAAATTAGTTTGCAACCAGCCTAGGATGGAAAAGATCTTAAGTCTTTTCACATTTGAAAAAGTGTTAAACCTTGCAAAAATCTCTTTCTGGAAACTATATTCTCCACCTACATTTCCTGATAGGTACAATTGGCTATATCCTGCTTCATTTTCCATCATAAGCTGATAGAGCTTTAAACTAGCCTGGAAAGGAGACAGGGATAAAAAAGATCTCGCCAGTGATCAGCGATGGGATAATGTGCCAAAACTTGTGGAAACGAGTATCAATGGGAACCCTCGATCTGCTATGCCAGATGTTAGCTACAATGTACCTCACCTGAAATGTTTCTACCCCAATACCGCCCTCATGAGGAACATGAGGAGCTCGAAGCTTTGGTCCACTCCCGAAGATTTGATGTCACGGGCATATGTGAAACCCATAAACCCAGTCCTGTGACTGGACTGCCCTGTTGGATGGTTACAGGCTCTTCAGGATGAATGGGCAGGGCAGAAGAGGTACATGGGTGGCACTGTATGTAATAGAAGGATTAGGATGTATGGAGCTCACAGTTGGCAATGGCACAGTTGAGAGCCTCTGCACAAGAACCAAGGGGCAAACAAATGATGTGGATATCATTGTAGGAGTTTACTACAGACCTCCCAGCCAGGACAATGATGCCAACAAATTATCCTTTGAGGAACTAAGGGACATTTCCAAGTCAACTCTCCGTGTCCTTATGGGGGACTTCAACTTGCCAGAAATTCACTGGGAGCACCACTGGTTCAACCTGGGCCAGAAAATTCCTAAAAAACCTGGATCACACCTTTATGGAACAATCCTAAGGGAGCCAACTGGGAAAGATGCCCTCCTTGATCTGCTGCTTGTCAACAGAGTGGATCTTGTGAGCAAAGTGGAGATTGATGGCTGTTGATAGAAGGAATAGTGTCAGCAACACGTCACCTCCAGGCAAGAGGAGAGCAGAATTCAGGCTCCTCAGGGAATTAGTAAGTAAGGTTCCCTGGGATAATGTTTATGCAGGTGCTAGTGTCCATCAGTGCTGGTCACTTTTTAAACATCACCTCCTAAGGCCACAGGAGCAGCAATCCCCAAAATGTCAGAAGTCAAGCAGGTGAGGCAGAAGGTCAGCTTGGCTAAGCAGGGATCTTCTCTTGAATATAAGGCGAAAAAAGGTGTATGTCTAGTGGAAGCAAGGCCAAGTGACATGGGAAGAATACACAGATGCTGCTTGCTGCTGTAGGGAGAAAATTTGTGTGGCCAAAGATCAACTGGAGTAGAAGCTGGCCAGAAATGTTGTGGACAAAAAACTGAATCCTTTCAAATATATTCATGGCACTAGGTGATATAGAAATATCCTTGGCCTGTTACAGGATGAGGATGGTCACCTCACAAACAAGGACAGAGACAAGGCAGAGGTGTTTAATGCTTTCTTTGCTTCTGTCTTCAACATGGATGATGGACCAAGGATGTTTCAGTGCCCTGAGCTGGAGGACCATGACTGTGAGAATGATCAACTCTCAGTTGACCCCAGAATTGTGCAGGATCTGCTGCTCCAGCTGGATCCCTACCAATCTCTGGGACCTGATGGGATTCATCCAAGAATCCTCAAATTGCTTGCTGTTGTCATTCCAAAGCCTCTCTTGATGATTTTTGAGTGGTCTTGGGAAGAAGGGACCACGGAGAGGTCTCAGATGACTGGAAACTGGTGAATGTTGTCCTGATTTTCAAGAAGGGCAAGAAGGCGGACCCCAGAAAGTCCAAGCCTGTCAATCTCACTTCAGTGCCTGGTAGTTATGGAGAAGATTATTCTGGGTATTGAAAAAGATCTGAAAGACAACCCAGTCATTGGTCACAGACAGCAGGCTTCATGAGAGGAAAGTCCTGCTTATCAAACCTGATTTCCTTCTATGACAAGGTAACCCACCTAGCTGATTGAGGGAAATCCAGTTGATGTGATCTTTTTGGATTTCAGTAAAGCTTTCAATACTGCCTCTCACAGGAGCCTTCTGGACAAAATGTCCAGCACACAGCTTGATAAACACATCATGTGGTCGGTGAGTAGTTGGCTCACGGGTTGGGCACAGAGGGTAATAGTGAATGGGGTAACATCAGACTGGTGACCTGTCACTAGTGGGGTTCAACAAGGCTCCATCTTAGGCTGTGTACTCTTCAACATCTTCATAAATGACTTGGATGCAGGACCAGAAGGGATACTAAGTAAGTTTGCAAATGACACAAAACTGGGAGGAGCTGTTGGCTCCCTCAAAGGAAGGGAGGCCGCAGAGAGATCTCAGCAAATGAGAGGACTGGGCAGTCACCAATTATATGAAGTTCAACAAGGGAAAGTGCTGGATTCTGCACCTGGGATGGAGCAACCCTGGGTGTTCATGCAGACTGGGAAATGAGATGCTAGAAAGCAGCGCCACGGAAAGGGACCTGAGAGTCCTAGTCGATGGCAAGTTGAATATGAGTCAGCAGTGCCCTGGCAGCCAGGAGGACCAATCTTGTCCTAGGCACATGTTGTGACTCTTGGGGGTGGTCCCGTGCAGTGTCGGGAGCTGGACTCAATGACCCTTGTGGGTCCCTTCCAATTCAGCATATTCTGTAATTCTGTGATAAGTTCTTGTGTGAGTCTTGGTGTATACTCTTTCAAAGCCAACAAATTCTACCTAAGAGTCAACTGCCTTTTGCTGGTTGAGTGAATATTGTTTCATGACCAAATCTACTCTAACTTAAACACAAATCAAAACTTATTTGCAGTATTTAGGCCACAGTTCATAACCACTCTTTGAGGCTGCTGGACATGCAAGCAACCCAACACATTTTCATCTTAAAGAAATATGATCTGCAATTTCCCATTATCTTTTTTAAATACTCTTGGTGATTAGCTTATTCCAGTTAACTGAGGCTGGCTGACTGGTGCACAGGAGCTATGACAGCTAAATTTCCGACATCTTGAGGTTGGTTTTGCTGAACGTACTCCCAGAACTAGTGAAGGCTAGGGCCATTGGTGAGAAGTAATAGATGTCACTTGGGAACATCCCTTGGCTGTACCAGGCCTTTGCTTGCCTTAGCAGGGACGGTGAGAGGGACATTTACCTCACCATCACAGTCCTAAATTCCTTTCCTCATGCTAAAAAATCCTCTTGCTGAACAACTGGGCTCAAAACTGCTGATCAAACAAACATCAAGAAAATGTTCATAATTTTTTAAGACATCATCATATTTAGTATATTTATAACTTCTTCAAGTTTATGTGTTC